CAAACAAAGAAATAGGTCATATGGGTGTAAACAGACATTCTCAGAGCTTGTACTTCAACAAGGTTTAATATGCATTCTTCTCAAATGCACATGGAACATTTTCCAGGATTGATTACATATTAGGTAAAGAATCAATACATTCATAAAGATTTAAATTACATCAGGTGCCTTCTCTAATCATAGTGGTGTCATACTAGAAGCCAACCACAAAAAGAAAGTCAGGAAAAACCTCTAACATATGGAGACTGAACAACACAATACTGAATGACTATTGGGTTAATGAGGCAAACAAAGAAGAAATTAAAAGAAAAAAAAATTTTGAGGTCCTCCCTGGTGGTGCAAAGGTTTAGGACACAGCACTGCAAGCTTCCAGCAGCCACTTCAGTGTGAGTCCGATCCCTGGCCCCAGAGGTGATCCACATAGCACAGCAGACCTCTCCTGTCTTGCCCGTTGCTCCCCTCAGCAGTGTACTTTGTTGATCTTCCTAAACTGCTCCCCATTCTGTCCCTGGTGAAACCTCTCACTGTCCCTGCATCTCTGGCCTGTACCCCAGTTCTGTATGCATAAATATTAAAAAAAAAACAATTTTTTTGAGACAAATGAAAATGAGGTTCTATTACTAGAATCTATGGGAAACAGCAAAAGGAACTCAACAAATATGATTACTTACCTCAAGGAACTAGAAAAAGATGAACAAAACCAAACCAAAAGCTGATAGAAACAAATTGCATAAATAAGTGCAACATAAATCAAAGACAGTCAAAAAGACTAATAGAAGTGAAATCTGGTTGTCTGAAAATAGACAAACTTCTGTCAAGGCTTACAAAGAATGAAGACTACATGATTTAGCCTTTCTTGTAGTATTTAGTAATACTTTTAAAGTATTAAATGATACTGGAATTTTCTGTGGCATAACAAGTGATGAAGGGAAACCATTTTTTTCCTTTTTTTTTAGTATTTATTCTTCTTATTCCTTTAGAGGAAGAAGTAATGTCCACAAATGAAAATAAGATGAATTAAATTATGTCTTTTTTCTAAATAGCTGAAAATGTTCCCTTACCCTGACAACACACTATAGAGACTTAGAGATCAGTTTTTTTTTCTAGATCCTCTTTTGTTTAAAAGGATTATCCACCCATGAATATAAAATTGTGATTGCAATAAAATATGATATATTTAATTGTTTTCTGTTTTTTTAATATACTTTTATTTTCAGAATTTTTCTGGCATTTTGTGCATGCTCCCCCCTTCTTTCATTAGTTTTATAGTAGCAAAGTATATGTATATAGACCAGTGGCATGTTATATTGCTTTTTGAATGTTATAGAGAGATTATTTTACTTTTTCTACGTCTGTTAGTATTTTTATAATAGATTTCATTTACAGAATTTTTTTTTTTACTATTTCAAATGGAATATTTTAATCATTTGTTTCTTTTATCCTATAATGTTAACTGGTACATGCTAGTCAATATGCTTAAAGGGGGAAAAATGAAAACTGGAAAATAGGTGGGAATGTTAAGGTTTTTACTCCTAGATGTTTTAGAAAATGCAAGATAATTGAAAACATAAACAATAAATTACTCAGTAGAGTGGGTAGACACAAAGTTAATGTGCCTATATCAATACTTGATGTAGAAATAATTCCCATTTTGCCATTTTTTCTTTTTTTACATAATTCATCTATTTATGCATATTTTACACCATTGTTGATTTTTATACAATGTTTCCTTTCTCCTCTCAGGTGTAGACCCCCACAGATTTCCCACCACTAATTCACTGGTGCACCATGCCATAGTCCCTTGTGTTCTTTCCAGACCTGTTATAATCCCTCTTCCTCCTCCTTTCCTACAGAATGTCTCTGATTTACAGTCACCTGTTAATTTTTTTACTGTTATTATTTTTCCCATTATCCCTTATTTGGTTTGCCTATATTCCTTCTATAATTGAAACCATCTGGTATTTTTATTTTTCATTCTGACTTATTTCACTGAGCATAATACCTTCTAGTTCCAGCCATGTTGCTGCAAATGGCATACATTTATCTTTTTCATTACTGAATAGTATTCCACTATGTATAAATACTACATCTTCTTGATCCAGGCATCTATTTTTGGACTTTTGGGTTGTTTCCATATCTTACCTATTGTAAGTAGTGCTGCAATAAACACAGGAATGCAGGTATCCTTTTGAATTAATGTTTTTGTGTCTTTTGGGTAGATTCCTAGCAGTGGAATTGCTGGGTCATTTGATAGGTCCATTTTTAGTAGTTTGAGGGACATTCACAAGCTTTTTATAGTGGCTGAAGCCCATTTTGTTTTCTAACAGGATTCAATGATGCTTCAGCAGCCATTTCACAAACAACTCAGGTTCCTTGATTTTGAACCTTAGAAACTCAGACTACTCTTAGAGTTTGTGAATGTCTATGAAAGCTGCAGAGATATAAGTTTCTTCCTTCAAGTCTAATTTCACCACATTGGGCAAAAATTCAAATTGTGCTTTGGAACTGTAATTGTACTTATTATCGTAAAATGTGTTTTTCGTTCTTACTGACTTTAGTCTATTTGAAAGAAGAAAGCAGGATAGATCTGTCATCTTTAACTTAGAAGTTTTAGCAATAATTCTGCCAAAATTATTTTTATTTGCCTATGTACTGCTTCCTAAGATTCTTAGGTTTATTTTGGTAAATTTAGTTATTATAGTAGGATGTTTTATGCTTCTACCTTGGTGGTGGGTGTGTTGTGGTTATATAATCCAAAGAGATGTAAACTCTTACCTCTGACTCATACATATCATATATAAACATATGTAAATTGATATCATGTCAATAGTATATGTGTAAAAAGTATTATTTTTATCCTAAGATATGATAAAATTGTTTTTAAATTTGATATGAGGTCAAATACTTTGTTTTTGATGCTCTTTGTTATATTATTCATTTACTCTTCATTTTATAATTGAAACTGATAGTGTCATGCTTGAGCAAGTTATAAATCAAAATCTCTTATTTCTTTCACTTGCTCACTATGTCCTTAATGTCTAATTTTTTAAAATCAATGTATGTTTATTCATGTATATTCTCCTATTAATTCTGAAATAATGGAAATATAAGTAGTCAATTTGTATAGATGAGATTTAATTTATAACCAGATTCATAATATTCATGCAACTATAATTGCATTAAAATAGATATTTCTAGTAAAATATATGTACCAGACAAGTATGCTATACATATTAAATTCTATTCTTATTTCAAACAACTAGATGACAATATTAGTCTCTATGCAGTGGTAGCTACTATCTTAATTATACTTTTAAGTGAGTAGCAAGATGAAATTAAATATCTATAGCCCATTAATCTACTAATAACAGAAGACAACTCAATTTGCCTTGGAGGTTCATTCAATTACTTTGTAGGAGTCGAGTAACTAATGTAACTATAATATTTCAGGAAAAAGATCAAGAATTCTCCAGAATAAAGATTTCCAGAGAAGAATGCAATGGAATCAAAAATGCTTGGGGCACAGTATGCAAGGGGAATACACATACGCATACACACATACACAGAGCTCAGAGGTTGTAGAAATCTAGAGAATAAAAACAGTTGAACAAGGACAATCAGCCACTTGAAAACCAGAAAAGAAGCTAGACTGAAGATTCCAGATAGAGAGAGAGCAAATGTACTCTTGGGGGAAAATACAGTTGGTAAGCCAAAAGAGAAGCAAAAGCAAATATCCTGAAATTAGCATCCAGAAAAAAGCAATGCTAAGAAAAGTCATTGTCTTAGAGAAATGAATCACTTGTTTGTTTCTGTACTTATTTAAACTATATCCTTCTCTGAAAAGGCTTTAAACCAGCTTTTAAAAATCAATGGATAACAAAATCACTAGGTAGGAAGGAGTAAAGGAAAATAATAAGAGTAAAAAAATAATAAGCCAGTGGCATGTGTTAGTAAACAACACACATGCTACACAGTCCTATTTACCTTCTCAAACAGCCAAAGTTAAGAGAAAAATAGGATCTCTTATGAGACTTCCAGGGCTATAAGATTATTCAGAGGATAGTCTTCAACATACGGGTTGAAACTTTGGTGAAATTTATTTTATATATTTTTAATTAAGCAAACAGACTGTGTGATGGAGTAGATGACACTTTCAGTGTCATTTTTACAATAAACATGATATACAATCCTGAGGTGTTACTGTAATTTCTCAGTTCAGTTCAAATCATAACTACATAAATATTTCAGAAAAGGCAATTATGCAAATTACCCAGATAAGCCACTCCCAGATGGTCTGGCTTAGCCAGGAATAAAATTTAGAATACCCAGAGAACATCATATCCTTTAGATAATCTTCAATGAATAGTCCTCACTGAATATATTCACAATAAATAAATCATACAGGAGAAAGTTATTCATAATACATGCATTATTTGCTCAGACATAATTTGACAAACAATTTCTATCTAGAAAATGAAGCCAATTAATTACATGTTTTTTAAATGACGCTATTTACAATTAAGCCCTCCACTTACCTTACTTCTTGTTGGTCCCCCTTTTTTTCTCTGGAGAGTTATACTACTTTACAAAATGTGAAAGGAATTATTCTTAGGAGTTACTCCTACAGTGCAGATTTTGTTTCTAGGGTAAATTGTGCCTGATTCTCACCAACATATTCAACAGAACTCAGTATTTCCAAAACTGTCATCTCTAAATTATAGGTGGAAACAGTACTACTGGCCTAAAGAAGCAGTATCATTTCATAGAGAATTGCTCATGCCATAGCTTTGGAAAGTAAAATTTAAATTACCTCAAGTCGATCAGCGCCCGAACATAACAGGAGCAATGTCAGAAAACTTACATCATCATCGATGCCCTAAGGTGAAAACATTGTACTTCGGGATGCATATACACATTCTAGGACTAGCACAACAAGTCTTAAGTACCTTCTCAACTATGGTCATAACAGACACATTTAGTTAATAGTAATAAAATGTTACCTTAGATCAACAGTTTTTCCAGTCTTGTTGATGCACGTAACATCTCTAGTCTGATATCCAATCTGGATGTCCCAAAATTTGTTCTCTTGTCGGTTCTGTCTGTTTCTATTCCTCTTTTTCTTAATAAGTTCACGGGCCTCTGGATCTTTCACTCCTTTCCCTCGGTCCTTCTCCCGTTCCTTATTTTTTCCTCTTCTCCTTGCTTGTCGCGCTTGCCTGGAGTGGGGCATGGAACACGTGCTCCACGGACCCACATGCAAGCTGTACATGCTCTCTTCAGCTTCACATGGGCTGGACTGACACACCTGAAACTCTGTCAAATTTGGGCAGCCAGAGCCGCCAAACTGGGGGGGTGCCACGACATGCCGGGTCCGGTGCTGGAGGCCGCTGCCACACGTCTTGGAGCATTCTGACCAGACAGAAAACTCAGACACAATGCAATCTTGTTGGCAGGGGATGAGGCAGGCTTGTTCCAGGAGAGGCTTGGGTTCGAAGTATTCACAAATGATATCCTCTGCAGGAATGTCATTTTCTTTCTGGATACAGGTGATCTCTCTCACCTGAATGCCTTCTTCTCCCTTAGTACACTCAACGGGTTTCTCTATGCTTCTGGACATCACTGGCTGACACTGATTCCATGGTCCTAGCCGCCAGTCATATAATTCTTTATGCCAGTCACAAACTTTGAAACAATTCTGCTGGTTGTTGGGTCTCTCCGCCTGCTTACAGTTTGTATGTAATGTTGTCCACCCTTCTACATGAGCACACCACACAGCCCGGGTCTGAATGCCTCCTGGACCACATTCATCTCCCATGCATCGGCCCCATGGACCTAAAAAGAAGACAAGAGTTAATTTAACAGTGGTACTAGAAGAAAATGAAAAGACTTCACCTTCCAGAAAGGCATTTCAAGATCTAGTACATTAACTTCCCTAAAGTGTTATAAAGTAGGTCTCTGTACATCACTGCTGGAAAATAATGATCTGGACTCAATGTTTTTGCAAAAGGGGAACTGTGTCACAGAGTCTATATAAGGTAACTGCTAGGACAATTTTACTCTGGGTCCTTTTGGGATTATTAAAAGTTTCCTGGTATTCACTTCCTTAATTTTATGTAGAGAACCCTTGTTCATAAAGGTCATCAGAATTAGTCACAGTGAAAACCCATTATTCCTGCCTCATAATCATCAAAGTCATTTCAGTAACTGGCAAAGAGATGACTCCGTTGGAAGAACTTTGTATACTGCAGCTTTTCTCCCCTGAGTAATTAATTATGTTGTAGAATGTGCTCCTTTTCACCTCATTTTCCATTGTTATAAAACAGGACTTCAAGAGTCTAATAACTATAAATTTGTATCCTTACAAAAGTTGTTTTCTTTCTGGTCACCAAAGCTGGGAAGTGAAAAATCTTCATTTAAGTACATCCTGCCTTTATATTTAATTCTCAAATGAATTGTTCTCATACCTTTCCCCCAGTGAAGTTAAATATAAAGACCTGCAATTTTCTGAACATAAAAGGGGTATTTTGGCTTTTATCAGTTTATTCATTTTCTAAATAAACTACTAGGGATGACAGAGATATCATGAATATGTATATGTATGTGTGTGTATATATATGAATATATATTGAGATTTATTTATTTATGCATACAGAACTGGGGTACAGGACAGTGGTGCAGGGATGGTGAGAGGATTCATCAGAGACAGAGTGGGGAGCAGAACAGGCCAACAGATAAAGTACACTGCTGAGGGGAGAAGTGGGCAGGTCAGGAGAGGTCTGCCATGCCATGTGGGTAACCTCCCTGGGCAGGACGAACTCATGCTGAAATGGCTTTAGCTTTGTAGTGCTGTGCTTTAACCTGCTGTGCCACCAGGGAGGGCCCTGCATATATATATATATATATATATATATTTTTTTTTTTTTTAAATAATATAATAGTTTATTTTTATATCATTTTGTGCATTTTTCCATCTCACTTGTAATCCCTGTGGGCTTCCTGCATTTATATATATGTTTTTAAGGTAAATAATATGATTTTTTCAATGTTTCTATAAATATCAATTTACAAAATTTAGAATTACAGTATTCTGGAATTTTAAGGAAAATTATATAATTACATGGTATAGTTCACAAAATCAGTTGATTTAGCATAAGGTTATCTTCATTCTATAGGATGTGTGGGAAGCTGAGGGACAGGAGATAGGGTTTTTGGGACTCCAGGCTCCCTTAGTATGACCCTAATATCTCTGTACCTACTGGTGTTTCTTTAAGAGTTCCATTATTATTATTGTTGTTGTATGTATTGAGATTCTGCATAGGATAAGCCCTACAAGGGGCTTATGTTGCAGAGATATGAAACACTAGACTAGATTAACTGATTCAATTTATGGATGAGAGTAACAGGATATAAAAAAAGAAGTGATTAGCTAACTTCACATTCTAATGAATAATAAAACAATCCTGGATTTTAGATTCCAGATATGACTTTAAATAATCTAATTTATCCTAGACTGTAGAACTTGAGGTTTAGATATTTCTATACAAAACAATCTACAAAGAATAAAATGTAAAGACTATCCTTATATTTAAAATGAACATTTAATTTTGTCTAACTATAAGATGTTGACAATTATGAGAAATTTATTGCAAAAGGAATAAGAGCACAGAGTAGAAGAGACTTACTGCAAATATTGTATTCATCATTATTAAATGAAAGTAAGTACTGGATGTGCAGCATACACATTTCATACTTCATAATCTTTAATATATTTTATTGTAATTTTCAGGTAGACTTTAGGGGTCAGTCTCCTTAAAAAGATCAGATAGATTTTCCCCAATAGGTCCCACTAAGTTTCTTGTCAAGTTGGTATAGAAGGTAGAGGTCAATTAGGTTCTATGAGCCAGCAGATAGTCAAGAATAATATATTACTAAAGAAGGATCATTACATCAAAAGTTTCTGTCCTTTATCTAGTAGAAGAAGCACTCACTGTTCTTCATTTTATGTCATAGAAAAAAGTATTTGGTGGAGGGGTTTCATCCATTTTCAGGGTTTATCAGTAAAACATCTTAGACTCTTGTATTTACTTTTGGAGTAAGGACAAGGTTACTCCTTCTCTTCTGTCATGTGAAGTCTCCCCTTCTTTGTCCTTGATGCCCCAGATGTCAAAAAGCAGGATGAGTATCCCTGGTTCTCTCTATTATTCTTTAGAATTTACAACCATGTAAATGTTCCATATGTATGTCATTAAATTGATTGGTTTTCCTTTGCTAATCCATCTGTTGCTGTTTCCATCACCTGTCCAATACCAGAAGAACCCAGAGGGGTAAAGGATGATTTCTTTTGTGTGCCAGAATTGTATTAGTATATTAGTAAAGATACACTTTAAATAATTAATGAAGGTAAATTTTATTACAGAAATCTGAACATACAAATATGAACTCACATCAAGTTTGGATATCATTGTTTAGTAAGGAAAGCACATACGCCAAAAGTAGTTTTTTTTTTTTTTCCTGGAAAGGATACCCAAAAATGTGAAGCAGAACCAGACAACACTAGCTATTAAATTTGAAAATTATCCTAAACAACATAAGGGATAGATAATAGTTAAACTCTCCTAAGTCAAATCAGCAAAACTTCAGGCTTATGTCTAAATATATTCTAAAATAAAAGTGATCACTTTGAAAATGATTCATAGTTAATGAGTCCCAAATAGACAGCATTCCATTTTTCCACTCTCAGAACACACTGCATATCTTTCATACACAATGGTCATTACCGTGTCAGTTTATTGAATATTTGTCTGAAAAATATCTGCTTGTCATATTAGACTGACTCTAAGAACCCTTGTGGAAAAATTTTTGTTGTCTTCTCCAACACTTGATTTGGCCATGTCTACATTTTCATGGCTAGCTTTTGAATGAATTTTTTTTCAATCACTTTGTTAAAAAAATTACACTTACTCAGTAGCTCTTTATATCCAAGAAAATACACAATGGATGTCAATGGCAGCAGAAAGAGTTAGCTCAAGGAAACGACTTCTTTATATACACTGATAAGTAAGCACTTCTAAAGTTTGCTAGGTAACTTCAGGAAAAGCATGTGTTCAAATACAAAACCTTTCAATTTCCACTTCAACAATTTTATCACAGATTTCTCTAGCCAGTTATTCACAGATAACACCACTGGGTTTATTTTATTCAAAGTAACCAGAAGAGTTAGAAAAGAATTTTATGAGAAAATTCCAAGGAGATCTATAAAAATATCCATTGAGGCTAAAGGAAAATGAAATGCATGAAGACGCCAATGAATATAGAGGTGGCAATATAATCACAATTGAACCAATGAAAAGTCACTCACTTTCCAGGCTTTAACTGCTGTCTTATCTTTCATTGCACCTTGGGTATTTCATGTGTGTCCAATTAACAGACCTTTTGAAAGATCAGATCCTCACCACTGTACACTAGATGAAGGGCTGTCTACTTCTGGCCTCCAAGCGGTCTTAAAATAATCACATACTGAACAGAAAGGGGACTGTAAACTGACTCTTGACAGCTAAGAATTGTTAGCCCAATTAGCTACCATGTTACAACAAGTACAGATGTTCTGCCAATGTGAAAGCACAATATGTACACTCCATCAAGGAAAACAAAGTCCTCTCCAAAGTACAATAGAAGAAAGTGATATTTAACTATTTCTCTGCATAAATGTTAAACTGTAGCCTGGTTTCACATTACTCACAGTGAAAAGTGGCAGTGTTGCAAGGGTGATGTGGGGTGTGTGTGTGTGTGTGTGTGTGTGTGTGTGTGTGTAGGGGTATATATGTTTCAATATGAACAAAAAGCATTTCCATTGTTTCAAAATGTTTCATTTATTGTTCTTGTTAATAATTATGAATAATTATGTAAAGGAAACCTGGAATCTAATTGTAAAAACAAAGGACTGGTAGCTTTATAAGTAAGATCTTAAATAAAATCCCTTTTGAATGGAAATGTATTCTTGCAGCATACTGATTTGTAGAATTGTATTCATTAAGTATCATGCAAAGCAGCTCTAGGATGTAGGGCAAAAAATACAGTTATTTCACTTAGTTTGACAGGTTTTATATACACCAAGAAATATTACTTGTCTTATTCCACTAAAAAATAATTAAAGCAGTTGTTTATAAACTCATATTTATGTAGTCTATAGACTCACAATAAAAGTATTTTCACTTGGAATTACTGTAACATTATGCAAAAATGCTATAAAACCTTTAAGTGAATGCTACTTGGCTTAGCTTTCTATACATTAGTGTTTTCAGTGTAATTCTTAACTCACTTTCCAAAACTGTCGATAAAATAATGGATTTATTTTTATACCTGCCAAGGAGGATTTCATAATATGTCTATTCTCTTCATGTCATTCAAAACTCTTTATTTCAGTCTATAAAAGACAGTCTTTTAAATTTGAAATTAGTATTTTGTCTACCATATTCAACATTGGCTTCTTCTAAGACTGTTTTTTATATGTCAAGGACATGAAAACAATAAAAGATTGAGTCTATAAAAGGCCACATTATTGACAGGTGGCCAGCAACTGTTCCAAAGAGCCTTATAAAAGATAAACGCTATAAAAAGAGCATGAGAAAATTATGCAAACTACTTTGTGTCCTTGTTTGCCATAAAACTTTCAAATGAGCCAGTTTCTTATTTGACTAAATATGTTTATATCCCTTATAAGAGATAGTGTATTTTCCCCTTCTGGATTGGGTTAAGGAACAGATTGTCCTAGTTCACTAATATCAAGGAATGCATGGGACAGCTTAGCTATATACTAATTTCTGTCTCTTGAA